ACATAGTTCTGCCAACCTTGCCAGCCTTCTCATCTACCAAGTATCAAGGGTGGTTCTGCTTTAGTGACCGTTCCCCTCATTATAGAAGCACTTAGTCTCAGGTTTGGTTCAACCTTGGGTTTCTTCACTAGAGCAGCAACTGATTTGTCGTCTCATGAAGTATCCCTTCTTTCCCTTGCCCTTCTTGAAACTAGTGGTTTTACTAACCATCAACATTTTATGCTCCTACTTGATTTCTACTTTCACGGTGTCAAACATCGCGAATTGCTTAAGGATCATCATGTATATCCCTGATATGTTATAGTTCATCACTAAGCTCTAATAGCTTGGTGGCAGTGACTATGGAGAACTATCACTATCTCATCTGGAAGATGAACTCCCACTCGATTCAAGCGATTGTACTACTCAGACAATCTGAGCACATGCTCAACGATTGAGCTTTACTCCCTTAGTTTGGAGGCTTAAGAAACTTGTCAGAGGTCTCATACCTCTTGACATGGGCATTAGTCTGAAATCCCAATTTCAGTCTTTGGAACATCTCGTATGTTCTGCGACATTTCAAAAATGTCTTTGGTGCCACAATTCTAAACCATTAGTATTACACACTGAACTAGCACGTAGTCATCAAAATGTGTATGTCAGATGTTTCCCAACATCTACAGACGATGCTCGAGGTTCAACGCACTGAGTGGTGCATTAAGGACATAGCCCTTCTGTGCAGCAATGAGGACAATCCTCAGTTCACGGACCCAGTCCGCATAATTGCTACTGTCAACTCTCAACTAAATTTTCTCTAGGAACATATCTAAAACAGTAGAACCAAAGCGTGAGATACGACATAATTTGCAAAGACCTTTTGACTATGTTCATGATAATTAAGTTCATCTAATCAAATTATTCAATGAACTCCCACTTAGATAGACATCCCTCTAGTCATCTAAGTGATACATGATCCGAGTCAACTAGACCGTGTCCGATCATCACGTGAGATGGACTAGTCATCATCGGTGAACATCTTCATGTTGATCGTATCCACTATACGACTCATGTTCGACCTTTCGATCTTCTGTGTTCCGAGGCCATGTCTGTACATGCTAGGCTCGTCAAGTTAACCTAAGTGTATTGCGTGTGTAAATCTGGCTTACACCTTTTGTATGCGAACGTTAGAACCTATCACACCCGATCATCACGTGGTGCTTCGGAACAACGGACCTTAGCAATGGTGCACAGTTAGGGGGAACACAATTCTTGATATTTTAATGAGGGATCATCTTATTTATGCTACCGTCGTTCTAAGAAAATAAGATGTAAAAACATGAAAAACATCACATGCAAATCATAAAGTGACATGATATGGCCAATATCATCTTGCGCCTTTGATCTCCATCTTCGAGGCGCGGCATGATCACCTTCGTCACCGGCATGACACCATGATCTCCATCATCATGATCTCCATCATTGTGTCTTCATGAAGTTGCCTCGTCAACTATTACTTCTACTACTATGGCTAACGGTTAGCAATAAAGTAAAGTAATTACATGACGTTTATGTTGACACACATGTCATGAATAAATTACGACAACTCCTATGGCTCCTGCCGGTTGTCATACTCATCGACATGCAAGTCGTGATTCCTATTACAAAAACATGATCGATCTCATACATCACATATACCATTCATCACATCCTTTTGGCCATATCACATCACAAAGCAAACCCTGCAAAAACAAGTTAGACGTCCTCTAATTGTTGTTGCATGTTTTACGTGGCCGCTATGGGCTTCTAGCAAGAACGTTTCTTACCTACGCAAAACCACAACGGTGATATGCCAATTGTTATTTACCCTTTATAAGGACCCTTTTCATCGAATCTGATCTGACTAAAGTGGGAGAGACAGACACCCGCCAGCCACCTTATGCATCAAGTGCATGTCAGTCAGTGGAACCAGTCTCACGTAAGTGTACGTGTAAGGTCGGTCCGGGCCGCTTCATCCCACAATGCCGCCGAATCAAGATAAGACTAGTAACGGCAAGCAAATTGAACAAATCATTGCCCACAACTACTTTGTGTTCTACTCGTGCATAGAATCTACGCATAGACCTAGCTCATGATGCCACTGTAGGGGATCGTAGCAGAAATTTAAAATTTTCTACGCATCACCAAGATCAATCTATGGAGTAATCTAGCAACGAGGGAAAGGGGAGTGCATCTACATACCCTTGTAGATCACTAAGCGGAAGCGTTACTAGAACGCGAATGAGGTAGTCATACTCGTAGCGATTCAGATCGCGGCCGATTCCGATCTAAGCGCCGAACAACGGCGCCTCCGCGTTCAACACACGTGCAGCCCGATGACGTCTCCCATGCCTTGATCCAGCAAGGAGAGAGGGAGAGGTTGGAGAAGACTCCGTCCAGCAGCAGCACGACGTTGTGGTGGTCGTGGAGGAGCGTGGGACTCCAGCAGGGCTTCGCCAAGCACTACGAGAGACGAGGAGGGAGAGAGGTAGGGCTGCGCCAAGAGGGAGATCAAATCATGTGTTGGGCAGCCCCAATACCTCAAGTATATATAGGAGGAGGGGAGGGTTTGCGCCCACATCTAGGGTTCCATCCCTAGGGGTGGCGGCAGCCCCCAAAACCCATCTAGGGTGCAGCCAAGGGAGGGAAGAGAGGGGGGCGCCCTAGGGTGGGCCTTAAGGCCCATTTGGACCTACGGTTTGCCCCCTTTCCCACTCTCCACGCGCCTTGGGCCTTGGTGGGGGGCGCACCAGCCTCCCTGGGGCTGGTACCCTCCCACATTTGGCCCACGCAGCCTTCTGGGGCTGGTGGCCCCACCTGGTGGACCCCCGGGACCCTTCCGGTGGTCCCGGTACGTTACCGATAGCACCCGAAACTTTTCCGGTGACCAAAATGGGACTTTCCATATATAAATCTTTACCTCCGGGCCATTCCGGAACTCCTCGTGACGTCCGGGATCTCATCCGGGACTCCGAACAACATTCGGTAACCGCGTACATACTTTCCCTATAACCCTAGCGTCATCGAACCTTAAGTGTGTAGACCCTACGGGCTCGGGAATAATGCAGACATGACCGAGACACCTCTCTGGTCAATAACCAACAACAGGATCTGGATACCCATGTTGGCTCCCACATGTTTAACGATGATCTCATCGGATGAACCACGATGTCAAGGATTCAGTCAATCCCGTATACAATTCCCTTTGTCTATCGGTATGATACTTGCCCGAGATTCGATCGTCGGTATCCCGATACCTCGTTCAATCTCGTTACCGGCAATTCTCTTTACTCGTTCCGTAACACATCATCCCGTGATCAACTCCTTGGTCACATTGTGCACATTATGATGATGTCCTACCGAGTGGGCCCAGAGATACCTCTCCGTTACACGGAGTGACAAATCCCAGTCTCGATTCATGCCAACCCAACAGACACTTTCGGAGATACCCGCAGTGCACCTTTATAGCCACCCAGTTACGTTGTGACGTTTGGTACACCCAAAGCATTCCTACGGTATCCGGGAGTTGCACAATCTCATGGTCTAAGGAAATGATACTTGACATTAGAGAAGATTTAGCATACGAACTACACGATCTTATGCTAGGCTTAGGATTGGGTCTTGTCCATCACATCATTCTTCTAATGATGTGATCCCGTTATCAACGACATCCAATGTCCATGGTCAGGAAACCGTAACCATCTATTGATCAACGAGCTAGTCAACTAGAGGCTTACTAGGGACATGGTGTTGTCTATGTATCCACACATGTATCTGAGTTTTCTATTAATACAATTCTAGCATGAATAATAAACGATTATCATGAACAAGGAAATATAATAATAACTAATTTATTATTGCCTGTAGGGCATATTTCCAACACGCGCCGCGCGCTAAAAGTCACGATACAGCGTCGGGTTAGCCAGCTTTTGCTTGCGGCGGTGCGCTGGCTCCAGCGGCCGTCGCAAATTAAAGCGCGCCCACGCCGCTCCAGCAGGCGCGCTATATTTCAGTTTTTTCTACTATGATTCGATACATATTTGGTTTCATAGATAATTCTCCTACTACTACTACTACTCGTCCGACTCGGACTCTGTCTCAGTGATGTCCTCCTCCGACGTCGGAGCGTAGGCGTCAAGGAACAGCTCGTCGCCGGAGTTCCAGGAGGACGCATCTCCTTCCGTGTTCGCTTGTCCTCGCCATAGTCGGCTCGCTCCTCCCTCCTCTTCACCCTCTTCGCCCTCCTCTGGACGACGAACTGTTCCTCGTTGGTGTCTTCCAAGAAGCATGGCTCCACAGCGCCATGGCTTGCTCGTCCATCTCGGCCAGCCTGAGATGATGCTCCTGCCTTCGGTGCTTGCGACGATCCCCGTCAGTGAGAAGCCGCGGGAAAGGCGCCAACTCCTGTGCGCGCTCCCGCGTCGCCACGTCGGCGAAGTTCATGTCCTGACGAGACCGCATGAGGCGCCACGCCGCAGCGTCGTACGCGCGGGCGCCCTCTTGGGCGGTGTCGAAGGTTCTGAGACGGAGCCGCATGCCGTCGCCCGACCGAATCTCGACGGAGTAGGTGCCTGACGGACGCACGCGGACGCCGCGGTAGCCCGTACCTCCCCGGCGGCGAGGCGGCATCATGGCGCGGTGGTGGCGTGTCGGCGGCAGAGCGCGGTAGAGGGCGATTGAGAGATGGAGAGAGCGGCAGAGGGCGACGAGAGATGGAGAGAGCGGCAGAGGGCGCTGCAATTTATAGGCGCGCTGGGCGCGGCGCGCCAAATGTAGCGCGCGAGCGACTGCCTTTTCCCGCACGCGCAATCGTTTCCCGCCACCGCTGAAGCGCGCGAAAACATCACCCGCGCTAAAAAGCCAATTTATCGCACGCGCGCGTCTTTTGGCGCGGGCTACAGTCTCCTCAGTCTCGCTTCCCTAGCAAAAAAAAGTCTCCTCGGTCTCCCTCTGTTCATCAGCTCATCGGCATCGGCGTGTTGCTAATGGAGGCGGCCAACCCCAATCCCACCGTGGTGCTGCACGCCTGCCTGGGCGTGGGCCACCTCATCCCCATGGTGGAGCTCGCCAAGCTCTTCCTCGGCCGCGGCGTCGCCGTCGTCATCGCCGTCCCGACCCCGCCGGCATCCACCGCCGATTTCTTCTCCTCCACCGCCTCCGCCGTCGCCGGCCTCGAGGCCGCCAACCCGTCCATCGCCTTCCACCACCTCCCGCCCCCGGACTACCCCGACCCCAACCCCCACCCCTTCCTGCAGATGCTCGACCTGCTCCGCCTCACCGTGCCGTCCCTGCTGGCCTTCCTCCGCTCCCTCCCCTCCGTCGCCGCGCTCGTCCTCGACCTCTTCTGCATCGACTCCCTCGACGCCGCCGCCCAGACCGGCGTCCCGGCC